AAGTGGCCATGCTTTTGGCCAATCTCGTCAAATCCGACAAACTACACGAGCTGTTCTCACTTAAGCGCAAAGCCCCCGAATCCGTATCTACCTCCGAGAACGCAATCGATCAGCTGATGGACTGCTTCGTGAAGGGCGCCGAGGGTGATCTCAACAAGCATGCCAGTTATGATTACCTGTCATACGTTTTTGCCGACCTGTCCCAGACGGAGAAGGGCAGGGCCTATTTCACCCAACGCCAAGAGTACGATGACGTGGTCCCCATCACCAAGCTGACAGTCTTCACCGAGCACAAAAGCGATATCCGCAGGAAGGGTGTCGCATCCACAATCAAGAACGTGGCTTTTGAAATCGAATCGCATCCAATGCTCTTTGACGAGGATGGCGCCAACCTTCTGCCTTACCTGTTGCTCCCGCTTGCAGGTCCCGAGGAGCTGTCGGACGAGGATACGGCGGATATGCTGCCAGATCTCCAGCTATTGCCGCCTGATAAGCAGCGAGACAGCGACACCACCATCATTACGACCCATCTTGAAACCTTGCTGCTCCTGACCACAACCCGGGAGGGCCGTGATAAGATGCGAGCAGTCAAGGTTTACCCTTTGATCCGCGAAACCCATATGCATGTTGAAGATGAGAATGTGACGGAGGCATGCGACCGGTTAGTTCAGGTCCTGATGCGAGACGAGGAAGGTGAAGGTGAAGGTGAAGGTGAAGGGGAGCCCGAACAACCTCAAATCGAGGCGCCTCAAAACGAGGATGAAAAGGTGGTAGAACTGTTTTAAGCGATTAGATACCAAATCAATTGTACATATGGAAGAACATTATCCAACACTATATATTATTCAATGTTGTATATGATCGTAATATCGTACCTTGTACAGAGTATGTAACCTTCCGTTGGACATGGAAGATAAATCCGCCGATGTCGGTGGGGCAGTCCAGCTCTGGGGGTACGACTGGTCGTTTTTCACCACACTACGTCCTTAGTCCTCCACTAGCTCTGGGATTTTCTCTCTTCTGATTCCTCAATGCCCAGATCGATCTCGAGCTAATGTACGACCTAACCTGAAATACTTACAGTATTTCATCATCCCCCCACCATAACGTCGGCCAATATTCCACTGCGGACGCGGAAGCTGTCTTGCCCCTCGGCCCCGAGGCGCAAGTGGCTTCCCGCTGAATCGGATCGAACTGATTCCACTTTCGATGATTGTGCGAGCGACAATGGAAACTACCCCGAAATTGACAATCTACCACCCGACGTGAGCCCCGACACTGGGATTGTTCAGCGCTTTCGGGCCTTCATGTCGCGCGCCCCTCTTCGCTCATCGCCCGTCCTGGGTGCTCCCTCTTACGGATCATTGCAAAGCTCAAGCGACTCGGAAGAGAATATCTCAATTCCTCGTGGTCAAAATGTTCGTGGGGGTTCACAACGTGCGAGCTTCGAAAATGGCATTGGAAGTTCTTCCAGCGTGCAAGGGTCTACCCCGAGACGATCACATCCCTCTGCCAGGCGACGAAACAGCTTGTATGCAGAGAGAAACCGTCGGCCTTCATCCGCTGCGTCCGATGTGGGCATGGGTCCTGACTCGAAATACTCGTTTGCCACTGGATTAGCTGTACCGGGTAACCCGGTGATGCAGGAGACACCAGCGTCTTCGGCATATATGACAAGTGACGATGAAAACGTCCTTGACATTGATGATGATGATTCAAAATCCTCGAGTGAGGATCCTCCAGATAATTCGCCGTATGCCCAAGTACGAGCTTCGGTTCCGGCGACGGACGATATCTCTCTTTCTATTAACAGTAAGCTTTCCAAATGCTTTTTTTTCCTGTGTATATCTAATGGTTTCTAGCACCTCGGATGTGGATTCTCTCTTTGTTATTCTCTTTGACGGGTTCCGCTGCCAATCTTTTCTTTTCTTTGCGCTATCCCAGTGTTGCCATTACCCCAATCATCGCTCTTGTTCTGGTCCATCCACTGGGCAAGTTTTGGGATGTGCTTTTCAAACAAACAGGTGACCCTCTCGAGATTTTTGAGAACGGATCCCTTCATCACCGGGAATTACTCTCTGGCGAGGTTGATGCCCCCGCTGTACCATTGGCGTCCCGAGTCAGACTTTGGTTTGCTCAGGGCCGTTGGAACGAGAAGGAGCATGCTTGCGTCTACATTAGCAGCAACGTTTCCTTTGGATTTGCTTTCGCGACTGATGTTAGTACACCGACGAAGTATTTGTGACGAAGCTGACCAAGACAGGTTATTGTCGAGCAACATAAATTCTACAACCAGGATGTCCCAATTATATATCAACTGCTGCTCATCATATCCACTCAGGTTTTGGGATATGCATTCGCGGGTCTAACTCGACGATTCCTCGTGCGGCCATCGGCTATGATCTGGCCGGGAACGCTGATGTCCACTGCAATGTTTTCTACAATGCACAAGTCTGTCAACAAAAAGGCAAATGGGTGGAGTATCTCCCGATATAAATTTTTCGTGATTGTGTGGGGAGGAGCGTTCCTCTGGTATTTTGTTCCGGGATTGTTGATGCCTGCCTTAAGTTATTTTAATGTGATCACTTGGTTGGCACCCAAAAATGTGGTGGTTTCGAACTTGGTGAGACATTCGTTCTGGTCATTTTCCCCCTTCTTTGACTAACTCATCTAGTTTGGTGTTACTTCTGGTCTCGGGATGTTCCCTTTGACCTTTGATTGGGCTCAGATTGCCTATATTGGCTCCCCATTACTCACGCCTTGGTGGGCCGCAGCCAACATCGTGACGGGACTGGTGCTTGTCATCTGGATAGCCGCCCCGATACTTTGTAAGACATCCCTGTCTTATCTCATTTGACTCTGCTGACCACAGGAAGACTATAAAAATGTTCTTTTCTCTGCATATCTGCCCATCGTTTCAACAGCAGTATTCGACAATACTGGGCGACCATACAACGTGAGCCGCATTTTGACCACGGGCTTTTTGTTCGATGAAAAGGCCTATCAAGATTACTCCCCGGTTTATCTCCCAATTACCTATGTGCTGTCTTACGGTGTTCAGTTTGCTGCTTTGACATCCCTTGTGACTCACACCATTTGCTGGTACGGAAAGGACATCTGGCAACAGACTAGAAAGGCTTTTGAGGAAAGACGAGAAGTGCCAGACATGGAGACGTACCAACCCCTTCGTGGAAGCAATGCTACGATTCGACAGAGTTTTGAAATCCCAAGGACCAGCTCGCATGAACCGAGCCAGGGAATTCCATTGGGTGGGGAAGATGTTCATTGCCGCTTGATGAGGCGCTATAAGGACGCCCCTCTCACGTGGTACCTGATCGTGTTCATCTCTATGCTCGCCATTGCCATCTTCACAGTGGAATAGTATGTTTCCCGCTCTCTTTAACCTTTGATTGCAGCTGACCCTAGCACAAGTTATCCCACACACCTACCTTGGTATGGGCTACTCTTGGCTCTTGGTATTACCTCTTTGTTTTTCATCCCAGTGGGCATCATCATGGCCGTCACCAATCAACATAGCAGTCTATATCTGATCTGCCAACTCCTTTGCGGTATTGTATTCCCGGGAAGGCCTGTAGCGAACATGATTTTCGTGACCTACTCATATATCAGCTCTGCACAAGGCATCAAATTTTCCTCGGACCTCAAACTTGGCCATTACATGAAGATCCCGCCACGAATTTTATTTGGCGTCCAGGTGATGGCGACTTTGATCTCAAGTCTGACACAAATTGGTGTGCTGAACTGGATGTTCACTTTTGTCCCGGGACTTTGCACCCCGGAGGCCATCAATGGTTTCAATTGCCCCATTGCTCGAGTCCATTTCAACGGCAGCATTCTCTGGGGAGTCGTTGGCCCCCAGCGCTTCTTTGGCCCAGGAGGGCTATATCGTCCGCTTGTCTGGGCCTTTTTGATGGGAGCCGTCGCTCCTCTCGGAGCATGGCTTCTGGGCAGACACAGCAAGAAGAGCTTCTGGCGTATGGTCAACTTCCCTATCTTGTTTGGCAGTCTAAGCTGGATACCACCTGCAACCGGGCTTAACTTTTCCATCTGGGCCCTTGTATGTTTCGTGTTCAACTACGTGATTCGCCGAAGGAGGACCGCATGGTGGGAGAAATATGCAATGACCTTGTCGGCCGCATTGGATTCTGGTTTGGCATTTGCAGTAGTCGTTGTCTTTTTCGCGTTCATTTACCCAGGTTGGGTCGATGGTTTCAAATGGTGGGGGACGGAGATCTATAAACAAGTAAGTTCTTGATCTTCTAGTTGTTTGATATCTGCTAACTGCCCCAAGGGTTGTGACTGGATGGCTTGTCCATACAAACCACTGGAACCGGGTCAGCGATTCGGTCAGTAGATTTTGCATCAATTGACAATTTTTGAAAATTCATTGAAATGGTATAAAATCTACCAATAAATACGCTACATTTGGTACCTATCCAAATAGAAATGCAAGAATAGTCAGCCGCCCCTTGGCAGCCTCTGTTCTTGACGACTTGGGATTTGGATTATCTGAAAATGTAGTGGGCTTGGTAGAACATTAGAGGCGTTACGGTTTCGATGAACTATCATGCGTTGGTCTATTTGTGATCTTTTGGTTTTTATTTGCCTCGATTTTAATCATGACTACGAGGCCAGCGATTAAAGCTCACGTACTGTAATTAGAGGTGATCTTTGAGTACATAGAACCTTGGAAGAGCCTCAGGGTGCACAGACCACACGGCCCGGAGATCTGTCCGAGTCACGTGCTACGTCAGCGGGACGGGTAAACATTTGCTCCGATGTCTACCGTCATACGTCCGGGTCACTGTCTCCAGCTCTTTCAAAGTGGCTTACCCATCCCTCACTCTTTTTTGAAACTGCCCCTCTTTTCGCAACACAAGACAGGCAAAAGGTTACATTTGTTTCGCATTTCTACCCCTAGTGGGATCCGTCCCGTCGCGTTCTACCACTCGTACAACTCTGTTTTGCACGTCGGCAACATGTCGACTCCAACGAATCCCCCGAATGCTCGCACCCCAACCGGGCCAAATGGCGCACCGCTGATGAGGATGCGTCGTCCCAAAGCAGCTGATCCTTTAGTTCGACCGAAGAGAAGGCCTGCCCCCAAACCAGCTGGCGCCACTCCCGCCGGCAATAGAACAGCCACCAAGACTCTTCCCTCACGGCCGTCCCACTCCCAGGCAATCTTTCCATCCGAGCGACCTATGCTTGAGCTTTCAAACAATAACATGTCATCAAATGGGTTCAGCGGTCCTTTGCTCAGTGATAAATATGTTGATTATCCGGTGGTGACGACGAAGCGAGCTCTGATGGAGGGGCTGAAGCACCACATCGCGCGATTTGCCTCGAAGAAAAGCGTCGACCCACGAGATGAATCACAATTTACTCGACCAGTCCGACTTCACCGCCGCGACCCACGTTCACGAACTCACGATCCAAACTCGGGAAGGTCCGAGATCGATGGCCAACCAATGGATGAAGCTGAACGCGAAGCCTTTGATGCCCGCAAGGCAGCACGCGAAAAAGAGCGCGCTGAGAACCTTTCCCAAATCGCTCCCGCCCTCGGCTCTACCTCGAAACGACCAAATGCCCCGAAGCAGAAGACGCAGCAGGTTTTCAAGTCTGACATGACCCCTGAAGAGATTGCACGAGCACGGATCAAGTACGAAGAGGCCTTGCCATGGCACCTAGAGGATTTCGACAACCAGCACACCTGGGTTGGAAACTACGAAGCAGCTCTGTCTGAAACACATGCGGTCTTTGTCCTTGACAACGGAAAGATGAGAATGATTCCAGCCGAAAAGTGGTACAAGTTCAACGCCAAAAGTAACTTCAAGGCTTTGACCATTGATGAAGCAGAGAAATTCATGGCCAAGAGGGTAAAAGACCCTCGATGGTTCATGGAAAAGCAGCAGCAGTTGGAGCAAGAAAAAGAGTTGGAAACCTACGCCAAGCAACGCAAAGTCTACGCCGGAAAACAGGGCACAAATGCCTCAAAGGGTGCGGGATTGGAGGCTGGTGAAATGGATTTCGAAGAGGATCGATTTGCCGATGACGAAGAGCACGATGACCTCTTCAATGAGGACGAAGATGCGAAGGATGCTGAAAAGAGAATCAAAGAGGACCAGCTGAAGGCGAATGTGTTCAATCTCAAAGACGAGAAGGAGTACGACGCCGAAGAAATGCGAGAGATACGTGAACGCGAGGCCCGGCGTGTGTTGGGCAAGGGTGTGCGCAAGGCCCTAAAGAAGAGAGAACGGAACTTTGATTACAGCAGCGGTTCGGACGTCAATCCTTACACGGATGAGGAGGTAAATTTCTCACCCATCTTCGACTGCAACCCCGAAACTAATTTGTACAGAGCTCCGACGACAGCGAAACCGAACGAGCCAAGGAGGAGGAACGCAAGAAGGCAGAAGAAGAAAAGAACCAAAAAGAAGCGCTCTCCTCCAAGGGAACAAATACTCCCTCCGGTCGACCCAAGCACACAGACCCCCTGAAGAAAGCTGCAGCTGCTGGATCTCGGAAAAGGCTTGGATCACCAAACGCTTCCGATGCGAGCGGCACCGATACATCTCGAAAGAAGGCCAAAGGCATGCATCTCCCTGCGTCTCAACCCCCATCGCGTCCTATCTCTCCATCCGCTTTGCAGGTATGTACAATCATCATTCTTTGACCTATATATATTGATTTCTTTAGGGCAAGAAACGCGTGCGAAACATTGCTGGTGGTGCTGGATCTGGCAGTGATGTCGATACTGGTGCTGGGTCTGGGGCTGAACTGACCGAGGGTGGCAAGATCAAAAAACTGAAACTCAACCCCTCGGTTTCCCGTGGTGGCACTCCACAAGGGTCCCGCGCTGCAAGTCCTTTGCCTCGACTCTCCGGAAGCCGCGCCAACAGTCCCGACGGCCCCAGAGGTGAGTTCCGATCAAAATACGGTTGCGATACAAGAAGTAAACTAACCATCTACAGGCCACCGTGTGTCGACTCCAATCTCTGGAACCCAGACGTTCCCGACGGCCGGAGAAATCCATGCAGCCATCCCGGCATCTGGCATCCTCAGCAGCGACCTCTTGAAGGTTTTCCGTCCTCGTATTGGCGAATCCAAGGAGAACCACCGGAGATTCATTGCCATTGTCAAGGATGTCAGTGTCTACGGAAAAGAGGATCGGATGCTGCGACCAGGTCCCTGGAAGGGGAACTAAGGTTTGCACAAGGTAATTCCAAGTCAAAATTATCTCGAATACTTTGCATATTTTTTTTAATTTTATTTCCTATTTGCCAGTCGCTGTCCAGCAGACATCTTGGGACTAGGAATGCTTTAACTATGAATATCCTTTGTAGGCGGTCTATCCTGGTTGTTCATAGCTGTTGATAAAGAGTACCTAATATCAATGACACAACACCTTGTTCAACAAAACCTTCCCACAAATACCTCAGTCGTTCTTCGCAGTCACCGAAAAATATGTCAGCGCGCTAAAGCCGCGGTGGAATTCATCAGTGACCAGCAGCTATTGCGTCCAACCAGGCTCTAGTGGGCTGGCCTACCACACTTGAAACACAAAATCCCCACACAAAGTTGAGGTGAATAGTAGCGGCCCTATGTCCACTGATGGTGACTCCGATACAGAGCGTTCCAACCCCAAAATAGGCACCACTTATACAGGACGGAGGTCCTTTTTTATAAAAAAAAAAAGTTTGAAGGAAAAAAAAAAAGATGGTCAAGAGAACTTCGGCCTTAAAATGATAATTCAAAATAAAAAGACTTAATAAATGTCATCACTCCCATTATAAACACAACGAACCAGGAGACGAAGCCGGTTCGGAATCTAAAAACATAAATCACAATCATTACGTCTCAACCCAAGAGAAAGTTTAGTCCCTAGGATCTATATGCGAACAGAAAAAGAAAATCCACGGCGCTCTAAAACTGCGAGACCGCAACAGCAACAGCTTGCGAGTCACTGTGGCTGATGCTAACGCTGACCTGCTTGACACCTGCCTGCTTGGCGGCAGCGGCGGCAGCACCATGAAGCTGGAGATATGTTAGCATTGTTATTGGAATCATAGAGAGAAATCATGCACTTACGTTAACCACCGGGGCGCCGTTGGCATCAACTCCGATCTCAATATCCTTCAGGGCAGCACCGGCACCCTTGCTGCTGACACCCAATGACTTGAAGACAGCTTCCTTGGCACTCCACCGGCCTGCAAACGAGGACTGGGGAGAGGCAGCCTTGCGGCAGTAGTCCTGTTCACTCTGAGTGAAGTTGCGCTCGACGAAGGTCTCGTTCTCAATGTTGACGGAATCGATGTGCTCGACGTCAACACCGATCTTTGAGTTCTCGGCGGCATTGGCCTTGGCGAGGGACTCAAGGGTCTGGCGAGTGCTTTCGGATTCCTTGGCTTCGGGGGCGGTGGCGGAGTACTTGAGCTCAGAGGTCTTCTTGTCGACAGACACGCGGTAGTCGGGGTTCAGGAAGATCTTGCTCTGCAGATCATCTTCGTAAGGAGCCTTGGTTTTGGCAACGAAGATACTGTTATTGATCAGGCCGTTGTGGAAGTAGCGGTAGGCCTTCTTCTGGCGAGCCTCGACCTTAGTCTTGTAGGTCTGGTACTGAGCCTGGTCAAGAGTGGCATACAGGTACTTGGGGTGAATACCAATAACCTGCGCACCCTTCTGACCGAAACCGAAGGAGGTGACGGAGAACGCCTTGACACCGTCGGTCTGGATGCTGCGGCTGGGGTAGACAATGTAGTCGAACTTCTCCATGACCTTGTCAACGTTGTCGGCGTTGCGGTTGCCGGGCACGAGACCGCTGTCCAAGACCTGCATGCAGCCGTTGAACATCCAGGCACCGGCGGCACCCTTGGGGTGACCAGTGAGGTACTTCTGGAAGATACCCATCACTGCATTACCCTTGGTGCGTCCAAGGTGCTTCATCTGTTGGCAAATGACATCGGACTCGTTCTTGTCGTTTGCGACAGTCGAAGTACCGTGGAAGGATGCGACATCAATGTCGTCAACAGTGAGACCCCAGGTAGCCATGGCACCACGGAGGGGAGCAATGCGAGGATCCTGCTTCCAGAAGTTGTTACCCAAACTGTATTGGGCATCCTTCTCCTGGCGAATGGCTTCGCGCTCAATGTGCTGAGCACGCTCCTGCATGTACTCGGCCTCGTTGAAGGTCTCGTCACTCTGAGCCTTCATGGCATCAGCCTCCTCCTGGAGGTACAGAAGCTCGGCTTCTTGCCATTCGTTGATCTGCTTCTTGCGAAGATCCAACTGACGGCGACGGTACTTAATGTCCAACAGAGGGGACGGGAACTTGCCGGGGTTCTCGCGAGCGGTGGTCAGGACACCCTGGCCAGGAGCGGGAACGGACCGTCCGATCTTGTCAGTGGCGGTCGTGGTCAGAGCAATGATACCGTGGATGGGCACACCCATATCGAGAGCAAGCTGTGCGGTCATGATAAGCTGCATACCGCAACCCTGGGACTCCATGAAACCAGCACGAGTAGTGGTAGTGGGTCGTGACATCTCTTGCGGGGTGCGACCGTGGGCGAATTCATCTTCAGCGTTGCTAGTGGCCTTCATGTTGGCGAACTCGTAAGAGCCCTCCTCCTGGAAGTCATCGAAACCACCGACGAAGCAAACACGGGCCTTGCCCTCGACAATCGTCTCGTAACCAATATCCACAGACTCAACAGCCGTGGCGCAAGCACCGACGGGAGTCTTAATAGGACCGGTAGAGGACAACAGCAGCATGTTGACCCACGCGGACATAGTGTTGATGAAGGACTCCTGCAAGATATCCTTTTGCAACGGCTTATCCATGAAGCGATCCTTGTACATACCGCGCAAAGCGTGGGTACCACCAATACCCGAACCAATACAGTTACCAACCTCAGACAGGTGGACATACTTGTAGAACTCGTAAGGGTCGGTGATACCGGCGGAAAGCATAGCCTCAGCAGTACAGACCAGAACAAAGAGGGTCACAGGATCCACCTGCTCAATAATATCGTCGGGGATACCATAGCGGCTGGCATCCCATCCTGTGGGCACCTGACCGGCGACAAGACGATCGAATTGCAGCGCCTTAGGGATGAGCATAGTGGCGCCCTTGCGAAGGCGGACGGTGTACTCTCCAGACTCGGGGATCTCGAAGATCTCAACCTTGTCTCCATGCTCACGCTTGAACTCTTCAGCTGTCTCCTTAGAAGACTCGAAAGGTTCGAGATCCTCCTGGATGACAATTTCTTGGAGGAGCTGCTTCTTCTTGGGGTCGTATCCCTTGAACAACTCGGGCTCGATGAGACGGATACCAGTGTGCTCCAGGATGTGCTTCTCGTACTTAGATTTGATATCCTTATCATCAACGGGCTCACCGGTCTTGGCATCAACCCAACCAGAGTAGGATTGGCCCTTGAGGGGACCGTTGTGGTGTTTAATCAGACCCATGATCCACGCCATTTCAACGCAGCCCTCCAATGAGAACTTGCCTTTAGATTCCATCTCCCATCGGGTACGGGAGTTACCCCATGGTCCGACTTCAGAGAAACCAGTGACAACGACGACCTTGTCCAGGTTGACCATGCCCTTCAGAGACTCATTGAGCGGCTTGACTTCCTTCTCCCAGTCGGGCAGGTTAGGGAATTCAAACTTGATGTTAGCACGGGGCTCGGCAACAACCTTCTTGTAAAGAATGCCAGTGTCTTCGCCGTTAACGATCTTGTGCTCGATGGCGGTCTCCTTGATGACAGCCTGGCGGACATCGCTGGTCTCCATGATGTCGGTGCGAAGCTTGGTCATCAGACCCTTCAAGTCGGGAATGAATTGCAGACCACCGTTGAGATCAGCAAAGACAGGGTCGAGCTGGCAAAGGTTGACGATGGCCGGGGACATCAGCCCGAGAAGGTTGAAAGCCATCTCCTGCTGGGAGAATGTACGGACGCCAAGCTTCTCGACGCCTTCAGCGACCATGTTGTTGCCGCTCATCAGACCAGTACCACGGGTCCAGCCAATGACTGCACCACAGATAGTGAGGTAGTGGCTCCAGTTCTCCGAGTACCAACGGTTGAAGAGAGTCTCCAGAGCAAGCTTGGACTCAGAGTACAGGCCATCATTACCGAAGGTGCCGTGGTTGGGCGACAGGGGCAAGACAACTTGAGCGGGGCGAGTCTCGAAGCCATGAGCTTGCTTTTGGGTCTTGACCGAGCCCAAAAGACGGAGCAGGTTGGTCAACATGATACGGTGAGCAAGCTCGGACTTAGAATCGATAGAGTCGATCTCGCGGCCGTTCTCGGGGATGGCAGCGAAGGGAACGACGAAGTCCAAGTCCCAGCCAAGACCCTTCTTAGTGTCATAGATGTAGTCAACCAAAGCCTCAACATCCTGCTTGCTACCTTGATTGAAAGGCACAACCACAAGCTGGGAACCACGAGCACCGTAACGGGCGTACATGGCCTGGTAGTACTCAGTTACCTCGCGCGAGAAGCGACTGGTGGTGACAATGACCTGAGCACCACCGCTGATCAGACCTTGGAGGACCTCAGCACCAATGGAACCGGCACCGGCACCGGTCATCAGAACATTCTTGCCCTGGAAGCTAAGACCGTCCTTGGCAGCTGACTCCATCACATTCAGATAGATGCCAGTCAGCTTCTTGTTGTAATCCCAGCCGTGGTCAGTCTTCTTCTTCAGGTGCAGGAAGGGAATGGTTTCCACTTTGCCAGGGCGGGTGGCAGTAGTGCGCTTGGCAGCACTACGGCCGCCCTTCTTGGGGTGGCCGTTCTCCTGGGGGATAATTTGGCTCTCGTTCATGCCAAGAGCGTGAACGACGTCCTTGTACAATGCATCGAACTGGATTTGCGACGACTTAGAGAGACGATGCTGCTTGCGAATGAGCTTGTAAACACTCTTCAGGTCGTTCTGAACCTTAGTGCGGTTGCTGTACTCGGAGATCGGGCCTCCCTCGGCCATGTGCTTGACGTAATGTTCAAGCTTGCGGGCGCTGGTGCGAGGGGTTTCCTTGTAGCCAATATTGCCACGGGCATCGATGGTTGTTTGGGGACCAGTAGGCACAGCGACGTCCTTGTAGACTGGAGCCACCTCCAACACTTCGCGACAGTTCTCAATAAGCTGCTGCCCAAGTTCCTTGGCCAGCTGGTATGTCTCTCCGCGCTCTGTTGGGCAGTTGTC